GGCATGGCTGGAGAATGTGGAGGGATTGGGGCTGTGGGGTTGGGGATGGGGTTGGGGTTTGTGGTGGCTATAAAAGCGGAGTTTTATTTCAATCTGCCGCCTCTGGGCGTTATATATGGGCCTATCAGCCGCACAGCTCAGTTCGCGCTGTGTGACCCACCATTGCTAATGATTAGATAAGCTTAGTACGCACCACGCACCACACACCACCAGCATGGAGGCTCGACCCACCGAACTGCAGTCGCTCAGGGTGGGAGGTGCGAGGCCTCGCAAGTCCCGTTTATGCATCCAGATCCCAGGCATTGCACACTCACACGCACACACACACACACACATGCACTTACCTATCGATCTACAAAGAGGCACTAAATCAACAAGAACCGCTATGCCGCGATGTCCAACTGGAGTCGGAGTGCTATAAATAATTTATTTATAGCCGCGCTGCTACAATATTGCCACCACACAGAGGTAGTAGAGCCAACAGCTCCTCACCTCATGCTCGACGAGAGAAGCGAGAGACGCGTCGACGATGTCGAGGGGGCAATCAGTACGACAATTTTTGCTGATTGTCGAAACCGTTGAGCCGTTTGGCTTTCATGGTTTTCTGGTTGCGGTTGCGGTTGAGGTTGAGGTTTCTCTGGTATCGAAAATTACTTTGATAACCGATTACTGGACGCTGATAACTGATAGCCATGTTATTATTAAGGGCTATTAAAATTCTGATTGAAAATTCATGTCAAAAATATATTTTATTGCCACTGTAAAACTTCATTTCAGCTCTTTTATTGCAGACAAAGCAAACGTGTTTCCACGCAACGGCAGAAATATATAAAAGCAACAAATGTATTATATATTCGAGTCAGCCAAATAAAGTTTGCCTGCTGCACTTCACCACATCAATTGCCTGACGGCTATACCTGGCGTATACGTAATCTTTGATTTGTGGACTTCTTTGCAATTTCATTACAACAGCTTCTAGCAACTCATGTAATTATTGCAGTTCATGAACATTGCTTCATTTATTATCAGGAATATGTTTCAAGTATTCAAGTAATGAATTGGAATCTCTATTTATAGTGGATTAAACTGTTAAAACTTTTAATCCTGCAGGTCAAACATCAATTAAAAACTATTTATTTCTAATCATATCCATATATCTCAGCAATAGTTAATATATATACAATTAACAAAAATATTGATATTTAATATTACCAAAGTTTATTAAATCAAATAAACTTAAATAATGATATTTATTTATTTTTATTTAATTCTTA